TCTCTATGGATATAAAGAAAGTAAAGCCTGACTCCTACTGGCGGCTGGTCCCTGAGTACGCTCATCTCTCAGCAGGAAAGGAGAGAGGGACTCAATGGATCTGCCAGGGAGGACACAGGGGAATCCAGACGGTGGTTGATGGGATGCAGAACTTGGAGCAGGAGGCTCCACCAGAGAAGGCTCCCCGTCAGACACAATGTCTAACACAGGCACAATGTCTAACACAGACACAATGTCTAACACAGGCACAATGTCTAACACAGGCACAATGTCTAACACAGACACAATGTCCTAACACAGGCACAGCATTTTCTGTATTTGCAGTCGGACTCTTGTCCGGCAACAACCGCTGTCCTTTTCTGACAATATGCCCAGCGTACATGCGTCCGGCGGCATCTCATGACGCATGTACGCTGGGCATATTTGTCGCACCAAATATGCATCTAGGTACATATTTGTTGTCATAAGTCATGACGTGCGGCCGGCGGCTGAGTGCCGGCATCTTCCTGAGTACTCAGTAAGAAGTGCCGGTACCACATGGGTCAAAATCAGAAGTGCCGGTACTCTGCGTACCGGTGAGTACCGCGCCCAATTCAAGCACGGTGTAAAGGGCGTGAGTCTCCTGACACACCGGGGGACACATGGTGATGTAGAGAAGACATCACTTAGTGAGTCTCCTGACACACCGGGGACACATGGTGATGTAGAGAAGACATCACTTTGTGAGTCTCCTGACACACCGGGGACACATGGTGATGTAGAGAAGACATCACTATGTGAGTCTCCTGACACACCGGGGACACATGGTGATGTAGAGAAGACATCACTTTGTGAGTCTCCTGACACACCGGGGACACATGGTGATGTAGAGAAGACATCACTATGTGAGTCTCCTGACACACCGGGGACACATGGTGATGTAGAGAAGACATCACTTTGAGAGTCTCCTGACACACTGGGGACACATGGTGATGTAGAGAAGACATCACTATGTGAGTCTCCTGACACACCGGGGACACATGGTGATGTAGAGAAGACATCACTTAGTGAGTCTCCTGACACACCGGGGACACATGGTGATGTAGAGAAGACATCACTATGAGAGTCTCCTGACACACCGGGGACACATGGTGATGTAGAGAAGACATCACTTAGAGAGTCTCCTGACACACCGGGGACACATGGTGATGTAGAGAAGACAACACTTAGTGGTATCCTCCTTAACACACCGGGGACACATGGTGATGTAGAGAAGGACAATCACTTAAGAGAGTCTCCTGTACGACAATCCCTGACACACCGGGACACTGGTGATGTAGAGATAGACATCGACTTAGAGGCAGTCTCCTGACACCACCGGGGACACATGGTGATGTAGAGAAGACATCACTTAGAGAGTCTCTCCTGACACACCGGGGACACATGGTGATGTAGAGAAGACATCACTTAGTGAGTCTCCTGACACACCGGGGACACATGGTGATGTAGAGAAGACATCACTATGTGAGTCTCCTGACACACGGGGACACATGGTGATGTAGAGAAGACATCACTTAGTGAGTCTCCTGACACACGGGGACACATGGTGATGTAGAGAAGACATCACTATGTGAGTCTCCTGACACACCGGGGACACATGGTGATGTAGAGAAGACATCACTAGTGAGTCTCCTGACACACCGGGGACACATGGTGATGTAGAGAAGACATCACTTAGAGAGTCTCCTGACACACCGGGGACACATGGTGATGTAGAGAAGACATCACTTGAGAGTCTCCTGACACACACCGGGGACACATGGTGATGGAGAGAAGACATCACTTAGAGAGTCTCCTGACACACCGGGGACACATGGTGATGTAGAGAAGACATCACTATGAGAGTCTCCTGACACACCGGGGACACATGGTGATGTAGAGAAGACATCACTTAGTGAGTCTCCTGACACACCGGGGACACATGGTGATGTAGAGAAGACATCACTTAGAGAGTCTCTTGACACACCGGGGACACATGGTGATGTAGAGAAGACATCACTATGTGAGTCTCCTGACACACCGGGGGACACATGGTGATGTAGAGAAGACATCACTATGAGAGTCTCCTGACACACCCGGGGACACATGGTGATGTAGAGAAGACATCACTTAGTGAGTCTCCTGACACACCGGGGACACATGGTGAGTAGAGAAGGACCATCACTTAGTGTAGTCTCCTGACACACCGGGACACATGGTGATGTAGAGAAGACATCACTATGAGAGTCTCCTGACACACCGGGGACACATGGTGATGTAGAGAAGACATCACTATGAGAGTCTCCTGACACACCGGGGACACATGGTGATGTAGAGAAGACATCAGAGAGAGACTTCTGCTTGATAGGACACCTTTAAAAGCCACTTCTGAAATCGTTACCAGGAGATAATAATAAGATTAAATGTAAATAAATGTGAGAAAAACAGCTTTTGATGGATCAATGTTTTTATACTAGGCCCTGTTCTTCTTCTGTGGTGTTCCCTCTAATGTAGTGCTATAGGTGTTAGTGCATGTAAACGGTCTGCAGAGGCTGACATTCCTGTCTTTCTTCTAAAACAACAAATGATCTGAAAGAGCAGCTGACAGGAAACTCTCAAAGCTCTTTAATTACATCACGTCTAAAAGTCAAAGCAAAGAATCGAGCTGTACAAAGTGTGACGCAGCAGGGGGTCCACACACACACACACACACACACACACACACACACACACCACACACACACACACACCACACACACACACACACACACACACACACACACACACAGAGTTTAAAATGTTCAGTATCAAGTAAAGCCAGGAGGAGCATTCAGATCTGTTTCTCTCTCAGACATGCAGCCGGACTCACCTGCACAACAGGAAGTTAAATAATACAAAAATAAAAGCACACAGAGCCCCCGCTGCTCATATTCATAGGTCCATCACACCCCCACCCATCACACACATGACCAGTATCAGTTCTTGAGCCTCACTGGTGGAATAAAAGACCAATTAAAACAGCCGAGGCTTGATTTTCCCACAGGGCCGTCCTGCAGGAGTCTGAGGGGGCGGAGGCTCAGAGGCTCCTCCCCCGGTCTCTGATCCATTGTTAGTCTGAAGGGGCGGAGTCAAGAGGCTCCTCCCCCGGTCTCTGATCCATCATTAGTCTGAAGGGGCGGAGTCAGAGGCTCCTCCCCCATCTCTGATCCATCGTTAGTCTGAAGGGGCGGAGTCAGAGGCTCCTCCCCCATCTCTGATCCATCGTTAGTCTGAGGGGGCGGAGTCAGAGGCTCCTCCCCCCCGTCTCTGATCCATCTTTAGTCCACAGAAAACACTAAATAATGACACGTTTTTTAAGGTTGAAAAATGTGGATTTATGAATTTAGTCTCAAAGAATTTAGATTATTGAAGATAATTTTTAAAGAAATGATGAATTTATATTCCTGAATAATCAGAGGGAAATGGAAGATAGTATGATTATATATTTATATGTTTCCATATGAAATGGTCCTGATCTGGTTTTTAAATAACTGTTAGCTGTCGCTCATCCAGTCCTATTCTGCCCGGCAAGAGGGGGGGGGGGTTTGTAGCATGGCATGATGACTCCTCCCCTTTCTTCACCCAAACAGGAAGTTGCTCTTCTCCTCTTCAGCCGTTAAAAAAAAAAAAAAAGTTTCATGAACTGCAGTCATGATTCTCTGGATGCTGAGTCATAAAACATCAGTTATTTATTCTGAGTCATAAAACTGAGTTATTTTGCGGAGTCATGTTTCAGGATCAGAGTCATGATACAGAGTTATGATAGTCATTATGCTGAGTCATGTTTCAGGATCAGAAAGTCATTATGCTGAGTCATGTTTCAGTTATTTTGCTGAGTCATGGTTCAGTTATTTAGCTGAGTCATGGTTCAGTTATTTAGCTGAGTCATGGTTCAGTTATTTAGCTGAGTCATGGTTCAGTTATTTAGCGGAGTCATGTTTCAGTTATTTAGCTGAGTCATGGTTCAGTTATGTTGCTGAGTCATGGTTCAGTTATTTAGCTGAGTCATGTTTCAGTTATTTAGCTGAGTCATGGTTCAGTTATTTAGCTGAGTCATGTTTCAGTTATTTAGCTGAGTCATGGTTCAGTTATGTTGCTGAGTCATGGTTCAGTTATTTAGCTGAGTCATGTTTCAGTTATTTTGCTGAGTCATGGTTCAGTTATTTAGCTGAGTCATGGTTCAGTTATTTAGCTGAGTCATGGTTCAGTTATTTTTGCTCAGTCATGGTTCAGTTATGTTGCTGAGTCATGGTTCAGTTATTTAGCTGAGTCATGGTTCAGTTATGTTGCTGAGTCATGGTTCAGTTATTTAGCTGAGTCATGTTTCGGTTATTTAGCTGAGTCATGTTTCAGTTATTTAGCTGAGTCATGTTTCAGTTATTTAGCTGAGTCATGTTTCAGTTATTTTTGCTCAGTCATGGTTCAGTTATGTTGCTGAGTCATGGTTCAGTTATTTTGCTCAGTCATGTTTCAGTTATTTAGCTGATTCATGTTTCAGTTATTTAGCTGAGTCATGGTTCAGTTATTTTGCTCAGTCATGGTTTCAGGTTATTTTTGCTCAGTCATGTTTCAGTTATTTAGCTGAGTCATGTTTCAGTTATTAGCTGAGTCATGGTTCAGTTATTTTTGCTGAGTCATGGTTCAGTTATTAGCTGAGTCATGTTTTAGTTATTTAGCTGAGTCATGTTTCAGTTATGTTGCTGAGGCATGTTTCAGTTATTTTTGCTCAGTCATGTTTCAGTTATTTTTGCTCAGTCATGTTTCAGTTATTTTTGCTCAGTCATGTTTCAGTTATGTTGCTGAGTCATGTTTCAGTTATTTTGCTGAGTCATGGTTCAGTTATTTTTGCTCAGTCATGGTTCAGTTATTTAGCTGAGTCATGTTTCAGTTATTTTTGCTCAGTCATGTTTCAGTTATTTTTGCTCAGTCATGTTTCAATTATGTTGCTGAGTCATGTTTCAGTTATTTTGCTGAGTCATGTTTCAGTTATTTTGCTGAGTCATGTTTCAGTTATTTTTTGCTGAGTCATGTTTCAGTTATTTTTGCTGAGGCATGTTTCAGTTATTTAGCTGAGTCATGTTTCAGTTATTTAGCTGAGTCATGTTTCAGTTATGTTGCTGAGTCATGTTTCAGTTATTTTTTGCTGAGTCATGTTTCAGTTATTTTTGCTGAGGCATGTTTCAGTTATTTAGCTGAGTCATGTTTCAGTTATTTTTGCTGAGGCATGTTTCAGTTATTTAGCTGAGTCATGTTTCAGTTATGTTGCTGAGTCATGTTTCAGTTATTTTTTGCTGAGTCATGGTTCAGTTATTTTTGCTGAGTCATGGTTCAGTTATGATGCTGAGTCATGGTTCAGGATGCAGAGTCCGGCCCTCAGACGCGTGCAGCCTCCATTTTTCTTCTTTTCAAACATCATAATAATTACACATGGTACAAAAACAGGCTTCAGATAAAGTAGTGCTGAATTCACCTTTAACACTTCAATCACGCACTATTTCACATCAAATTTCAACATCACATGGCACCTTAATGCAGCACGTTGGAGTAAATGTGTGTGTAGAGCCCCCCCCCACCTGCAGACATGGCACTTTGATAAAGCCCCCCCCCCCCATGATGCTAACAGAGTCGTGGCGGCAGCGCTAACTGTTCGATTAACAGCCCTTTCTGACGAGGAATGATCGCGGTTCAGCTTCAGTCCAGTTTATAAGTGCAGAGGAAGTGACGCCCACACGGAAGCCCCGCCCCTTCCTGCCCCCCTGCACCAATGAGAGATCAGTACCGGAGAAAATATGCACGGTAGATAACGGGCAAAGAGAGTCATGTCTTTATTGTAACTAAGCCACGAATTACACGTTATTGTTTCTACGTTTGTTTCTGAAACCTGATGCTTTTTCAGAAACCTGATGCTTTTTCATTTCGTTGTTATTGACGGTAAAAGTGTTTTCATGATCGTATGATACGGTGTTCAAATGCACCGTTATCTACCGTCAATTAATCCGGAAAGTTCCATGGTGGTCCTCCACATGGGGGCGGGGCTTAACCTCTCGATGCCACTCAGAGTTCAGTATTGGGGGAGATAAGATAAGGCTTTGAGGAGCTCTCTGCTAGCGGCCGTCGCTCGGTTGCTCTCGGCCAATCAGAGCACTACCTGCTGTACGGGTCGCCTGGGTAACCACTGGAGGCCCCGCACCCTCCGCTGTGAGAGGAGGAGGAGGATGGGGGAGGGGAGGACAGCAGCATGGAGGAGGAAGATGAAGAAGAGGAGGAGGAGGAGGAGGAGGGCCCTGGCAGAGAGTCTTCATTCGTCCTCCCTCCCTCAAAAACGTCGTCAATGTCCACTAGAGAGGTGGAGGTCAGGGATTGGCCGGTTGCAGAGGTGCCAGTCAGGGATTGGCCGGTTGCAGATGTGCCGCTCAGTGATTGGCCGCTCAGGGATTGGCCGCTCAGTGATTGGCCGCTCAGCCCCCTGTTGGCCCCGGTCTGGGAGCCTCTGTGGATGCGGTGGCTCACGATGATGTTGTTCCCGAACCCCCCCATGGAGGCCATGGTGGTGCTCTGCTCGCGCTGCACCACGGCCGTCATCCCGCCCTCAGCGATCAGGCGCCGGATCCGAGCCAGAGCGTCCTCCCCGGGGGAGTCTGAGGAGTCTGGGGAGAAACAACAGCAGCGTTAGAGAAACATCACCTCAGACTTTTAAGATTTTGAGACAAAACTCAGAATTTTAAGATTTTGAGACAAAACTCAGAATTTTAAGATTTTTAGATAAAACTCAGAATTGTAAGATTTTCAGAAAATGTAGGGGAATTTTTAGGGGACAACATTTTGGGGAAAATAAGAAAAACTGAATTTGAGAAATGTCAAGTCAAAAGTCAGATTTCTGCAATTTTCTGAAAAAAGTCAAAGTTTTGAGAAAAAATTATTATTTGTACAAAATGTATTTTATCAGAGCTCATGATGTTTCACAGCTTCCTCTGTTAGTGACTGCAGGACATATGACCGTAACATTTGACATCTGTAGAGTCTTGTAGTGAAGATGCTCTGATATGAGGAACTAAGAGAAGAACCAGAACTCTCACAAAAAGACAAAGGCTGTTGATTTACAGAAAAAAAAAGTTACAATTTTGAGAAAAAGTCTGAACTTTGAGATTTTGAGAAAAAGTCTGAACTTTCAAAAAAAGTCTGAATTTTCAGAAAAAGTCTGAACTTTCAAAAAAAGTCTGAACTTTCAAAAAAAGACTGATTTTGAAAAAAAAGTCTGAATTTTCAGAAAATGACAGAAGACAAAGGTCGATTGAAAGATACAAAAAAATAAGTTGGAATTTTTTTAGATTTTCAGAAAAAGTCAGAATTTAGAGTTTTACTGTAAAAAGTTAGAAATTCCAGTATGAATTATGTTTACATGAAAATGTTATTTATCAAACCCAAATATGAACGGCTGAAACGCTTTTGCTACCCTTGAGCTCTTCAAATTTGTATTCACAAATACTGTGCCTAATTTTTTTTAAGCCACCTTTAGCTTAGCGGTGGGGACGTGAAGTCATGTGACCGTGCTGTAGTTCCTTTATAGCCCAACATTAGCCTCCTTTAGCTTAGCGGTGGTGACGTGAAGTCATGTGACCGTGCTGTAGTTCCTTTATAGCCCAACATTAGCCTCCTTTAGCTTAGCGGTGGTGACGTGAAGTCATGTGACCGTGCTGTAGTTCCTTTATAGCCCAACATTAGCCTCCTTTAGCTTAGCGGTGGTGACGTGAAGTCATGTGACCGTGCTGTAGTTCCTTTATAGCCCAACATTAGCCACCTTTAGCTTAGCGGTGGTGACGTGAAGTCATGTGACCGTGCTGTAGTTCCTCTATAGCCCAACATTAGCCACCTTTAGCTTAGCGGTAGTGACGTGAAGTCATGTGACCGTGCTGTAGGTCCTTTATAGCCCAACATTAGCCACCTTTAGCTTAGCGGTGGTGACGTGAAGTCATGTGACCGTGCTGTAGTTCCTTTATAGCCCAACATTAGCCACCTTTAGCTTAGCGGTGGAGACGTGAAGTCATGTGACCATGCTGTAGTTCCTTTATAGCCTATCTTTTAGCTCATGGATCCCTAAGTGGTGTTAGTATCAGTACCGGAGGTGTTGTTCTCGGCTGCTCCTCCGCTCGGAGCCTCCTCCGGCCCTGAGGCTGCTGCGCTGGTGGAGGGAGTCTCGGGAG